AGGTTATATCACGTTTGGTCGAGTATATCGGTGGAGATCGTAGGCATGATCAATCGAACCGATTCCCAGTAGTTTTGTTCATATGTCAGTCGTGTGCGTGCGTGCGTGCGTGCGTGCGTGCGTGCATGCGTGGGAATACATGCGAATGCGTATGAGATGCGATGTGGTAGAATGCTAGATAGCTAATCATAACGTATCCACGTCGGTTTGTATCTCGCTACGATTGGTCCGTTGTGGTATTTCACACCAAGCGGATAAAGTTAGCGTAATACGGATTAACTAGAACCTAACGGCAAAGCCCATATTCGTGGCAACGGCCAACAGCAATGACCAACGGCAACGTTCGCGATAATGAACTCCCAAAATTCCCTGTCTTATAACGAGACTTTACGTAGTTACAGTTAACTACGTAGATAGCTGACTAGACTCTGACTAATCAATAACCGCGATTCCATCGATTTCTTATTCACCAAAGTTCTCTCCGTTTTATCTCTCGAAATCCGAGATGATGGTATTGTCTCGTTGTTTTCAAAGGAATCCATTGCATTCGAAGAATAGTAGGGATAGACGAGTATTTCATTTTATTCGAATCACCTGCTTAGATTTGAAAATGGTGCATTTACATATATTACATCAGCCCAGATGGCGTTCCGTTCGCTTACTTGGCCCCCTCGAGTCAAGTATTTCCGTGTCCCCTGGGAAAGTATTTGTTCTATGAATAGTTTCGTACAGATATTCTCTCTCTCTCTCTCTCTTTCGTACTCTTGGCGAAAATGCTGGGAGGAGCTTGTGGAATTCTTCGGATGGACGTATTCGTGGCATATCTTGGAAAAGTCTAGAAGGAATGGGATTTCAGATAGCCGAGAGCTTCGAAAAAGTTGGCGTGAAGGGAGACGAACTTTCTTTCTCTCTTTTTATCTTTTTTTTTTTGTGTTTCCCTTTCTTTCTATTTTTCTTTTTATCCATCGTCATGTCTCGAATGGATAGGAAGTATGGCTTTTGATCGAAAAGCTCGCGTTCGAAACGAGGTTGGTTGTCTTTTCCTTCCTTCCTTCCTTCCTTCCTTCCTTCC